ATAACATGGCACAGTTGAAATAGTTTGGAATGACAGTAACAAATGAAAATTTGATTCAGGAGGAAATTAAGAGCAGGCTGAATTCAGGCAAATCTTGCTACCATCCAGTCCAGTCTGCTATCTAAAGACGTAAAAATTAGAATATTCAAAGCTATAATTTTGCCTGTGGTTCTGTATGGGCGTGAAACTTGGTCCCTGACATTAAGGGAGGAACATAGACAGAGGGTGTTTGAGAACAGAGTGCTGAGGAGAATATTTGGACCGAAGAGAGATGAAGTGACGAGAGATTCGAGAGAACTGCATAATGACTACCTTCATAACTTGTACCATTCTCAAAGGATAATTAGAATGGGGAAGTCAAGGAGGATGAGACGGACAGGGCATGTAGCACGAATGGGGGCGAGGAGGAATGCCTATAGGATATTGATGGGAAATCCAGAAGGATAGAGATTTCTAGGAAGACCAAGACGTAGATAAGTGGATAATATTAAAATTGATCTTAGAGAGATGTGAAGGAGTTGTATGGACTGGATTGATCTGACTCAGGTTAGGGACCAGTGGAGGGCTCTTGTGAACCTGCGGGTTCCATAAAATGTTTGGGAAGTTCTTGAATAGCTGCACAACTGGCGGCTATTCAAGAAGGGATCAGCTCCATTGAGTTAGTTAGTTAGTTAGTTAGTGTACAGATACATGGAATGAGTTATGCGTAGCCTACAAGGAAGGCCGAGTGGACCCAGCTGGACTCCACCCCCCACTATACGAATTAAAAAAATCTTCACTCGCTCGAAGTCTGGGATCGTGGGTTCGAATCCCACCCAAGGCATGATTGTCTGTGTTGCCCTGTGTGAAGGTAACGGCCTTGCGACAGGCTGATCACTCGTCCGAGGAGTCCTGCCGTCTGCAAAAATGAAAAAGAATACGCTACTGAAGATGAGGCCAGGGCCCAACAAGGAGCTGTAGAGCCATTGATCAATGTGACTAAATTACTCTAAGAGAGTAAAGTTGGCCGCGCCATAGCTCAAGCAGTTAGTCGCTGGCTTCCCCCCGTGGCGGCCCGGTTTCGATCCCGGGTCTGGTCAAGTGGGATTTGTGGTGGACAAAGTGGCGCTGGGGCCGGTTTTCTCCGAGTACTTCGGTTTCCCCCTGCCAATATTGATTCCACCAATTGCTCCTCAATCACCCTCGCCTATCATCTGGGGCTGGTACAATAGGCCAGAAGTGGCCGCAGTACAAGGGACTTAGTCCCACCCCACTAGCAATGAAACAAAAGAGAGAGTAAAGTTCCTTCAGCAGAGAGCACGTCTGTCTCGAGTATGTTCTCGAGCGTTTCCTCGTCGTCCCATCTATTATCAATGTAACATCACCCTCAGTCTTCATAGTAAGAAGTGTATAGTTTAAACTGATGATGCAGCATTTAATCTCATGTGTTATGTAGCTCAAGCCGAGACATTTCGACATAAATCTAAGCTTCGTAATCACCCTTCAGGATGCGTGGTTATGCAGCCCTGGAACATGCAACGAAACGCGTATTTCTCGTAGTCTCACACATTTTAGCGACCTTGAACAGAGATTCATGGATCTTCACTGTGACAATATAAGATAACTCATGTCATGATAGTACACCATACAGCTGAGACAGGAACATTGTGATTAGCCAGACACATATGTCTACATTCCAGTAAGTATTGTGTTCTGATCTGTTTCTCAGAGTAGGGCTTGTCATCGTAAATATTAAGTATATTTGTATATAATGTTGTATTTTAGCGTCCTGTTGCACTGATTTTCATCCATAATACGTACGTAATGGCCGTCTTGTAGTGCACTCAATTTCATATGTCACTTCTTACTACATGTTTCGGCAACATAGTGCCATCTTCAGGTTCGTTATTTACGCTAAGCTATTACATTGTTTGCCATCTTGTGTCTTTCATAAAACTATCCAGAAAGCACAATATTCGTCAACCATAATAAAATGTGTATATACTAAAACTTGTTAAGATTATTCATCTACATGTCTCAATTCAAACTCGCGTATAGTATGGTTCGTCCACTATGGGAGTCGTTTCTTTGTGTACTGTGTGTGTGATGTGTCCTTCCTTTTTGGCTGCGAGCGTTGTAATATATATAATTAGTATAAGCATGGGAGATCCTTGTAATACTTGTTTGTCGGGTTATCATTATGTAGCTGAGTTGCTATTAGTTACGAATATGGCCGAAATATAGCAGCAATATACGTCAGTGGATGGTCTACTTCAGTCGGTATTGCAGTGTCTGCAGAAAAAAATACCTCTAGATAGAATCACGGCTTATGCAATGAGACCATCTCTCCCGATCACCTGAAGTGAAGAGCGTGAAGCTGATTTCAGTATGTCTGGAGGGTTGCAGTATATAAGAGAGGGTCAACACAAGGACCAATTGTGGAAACTGAAACGAGGTATAAAGTTGTAAAATTTTCGGGAATTTTCGTCGCGTTTTCTAACAGTCACGTAATAACATTTCTGCAGTGATCAACAAACGAAACCACACTGTGGAATATATTCATCTTCCATTTAGGAGAAAAATGTAATGACATGATCCAAATTGGTTCTAGAGTAGAACAAATATTGTACATTATATTTAAACAGACTTATTGTAAAAAATTTTAGATGTTTTAACAAATCAATGTCCATCTTAGCATTAGATAAATATTATATATATATATATAATATTTATATCTATGACGTGGTAATAAGAGTTTCCATATGTGTTGATAATATCCTTCTGAAGGTGGTCGTTTAGACGGAAAAATGAAATTAACATGAAAAATTAAAAACGCAACTTTTATCATTCAAACTGGACGTTTGTTAAAAATCTTATATACAAATCTGTTTCTTATTTGGCAGGATAGGAACTCATATAAAATTCATATTTGTTTTGTGTATATACTATATATTGAGACAACATTAACAGTTAATTCAATACAGTACAACATCAGTAAAAACCCTTAAGCTGTCCTACCGTGGTCATGAGGTAGCAACTGGTTATGTAAGGTTAATCATGTGAAGGGAATTAAAGATACTATTGGAATCTTGTTTAACTAAAAAATAAAGTGGAATATTATTATGAGTTGTTGCAATTGTTAATGGCGAAGTTGTACATTGTTACTGTTCGTTCATTCATTTTGAATTAGGGCAAGGGCGCTAGTTGCCAAGTGGTATGGCACACGACGGTATTGTTAATAACAGTTTACAGTATTTCCCAAACCTAATGGCTGGAACACACATAGCGACATCGCCGTACGACGTCCGTACGGTTCATATCGCATCAATTAGTAGAATTATTAAAGTGTAGTCTTAGCTTTCACACGTGACGACATGCGACATCTACCGTACGGCAGTCGTAGAGAAAAGAAATGTATATGGTCGCACGGCAAACAAATCGTACGACATTTTTCCATACGACCGATGTCGCTGTGTGTGTTCCAGCCCTAACACTACATAGAGTTACATCTTCCGGGATAAAAAAGACCGTGTAGTCTGTTGAGAATCATCCAACGTTTCAATGGAACATACGTCTTCCATCTCCAGGGTCGAATAATAAGCCAAGCAAGAAACCAGCATGGAATAGATAGCGAGCAGAGCTCTTCACGATGATTTCTGATATGTTCCTCAAGGATGTCTAACTTTCAGCGGACCACACGGCGCTATATCCCAAAAGATTGAACTGTCCATAACCACCGCTGTGAGAACCTCATATCCCGCTTATGACTGTAGATTAGTAATGTTGAAAGACATTTGTTCGTTATCGAGACAGAAATGGTATTTCAAGTGCGTAAATACCAGGCAGTACATGTAATTTGTAACACAAACTCTTTTTTTTTCTGTGGCGTTACAGCCCCAATTTGGGCCTAGGCCTCCCTCCATGAAACTCTCCGTTTCACTTCGGTTTACTAGATCTTACACATTCGGTAGGACTCCTTGGGCGGGTGATCAGCTCGTCGCAAGGCCTCTACCTGTACACAAACACAGAAAAACGCACACAAACATCCATGCCCTGAGTGGGATTCTAACCCACGATCCCGGCTTCCGAGCGAGTGAAGACAGTGCATTCCTTAGACCGCTCGGCTACCGTGACCGACAACACAAACTCTTACGCTGTCATATTACTAGATAATCCCATATAAATTGTTAATGTAGTTAAAAAAAAAAGAAGACAGTTTGTGTAGTAGAGAACGACCCAGAACTTGTGACTGGTGTGCAGAAACACATTTCGGTACTTGAAAATTAACTCATCCGAAACCTGCTGTTGCAGGGGTGTCGAAAAAATGTCACTTAGCCTACGGACCATGCAGTTCGGCCCTACCAGACACAGCAATATAATCCCAAAGCAGTTATCTTTAGACATGGTTTGTTCTTTAAATTATTTTTATTTAGATAGTTTGTCAAAACAGTTTCACTCTTACAGGATCTCACGTAACAGTGTTTTACGAAAGAGCAAGAACAGTGCCATGTCTCCAGTCTACAACTCATTCCTGCTTTTCACGCGCTCGCTCTCAGGCAAACCTAGCTTGCGCGTGTCCCACTCTTTCTTGATCATGCTACAGTATATTTTATCCTCGTCTGTTTGATTCATATATATGTCACCAAGAATGTGATGGCTCCTCGACTGTTTAAGAAGAGTAGATAATAAGAAAAGGATCATGATTTCAGAGGGCATGAATGCTGACGCAATGCTCGTCAAGTTGAATTTCATTATACAGGCGCTATGTTGGGTATTACCCATTGTCTTAAGTGTATTTAAACAGATAGACTTGAGACAGTGGACAGCGTACAACGTAATATTCGTACCGGTGTAATGAAGATTGAACGTAGTAAAAAGGTAAAGGTAAGGTTGCCCCTGTACTTAACTAGTTAAACACTACACCATGAAGACGTAAGGAGGAATGGACGTATAGATCCATATTTTCTTGACATCGGCACTAGTTGGAGGTCAGTGGTCAGCTTCACGCCCCGGCCGCTTTACTCCGGGGAAGGACCCCCCGGTACCCGTTGGATAGAAGGTTGGGTGGACCCCAGAGCCGGGCTGGACGTGGAACAGAAAAAATTCTTCACCTTACCGGGACTCGAACTCAACCCCTCCGTCGTCCAGCGCGTAGCCAGTCGCTATACCGACTACGCTATCCCGCTGCTGAAGATAGTTTTGTAAAAAAACGCGTCCACACATATTTGAAGTGCGCCTCGGCATTCGAATAGCGATGAACTGCGTTAACGAGAGAAGGTATGTATACAAGTCCATATCTTCTGTAACAGCAATGAAAGAGAATACGGCCATCAGTTTTGTCCATTTTCAAGGACCAGACGAGATTTTAACGCACAGACTGACCTCTCTGCACGAATGTACGCAATATATATGTGATAGCAGGTCTTAACCCGTTTAGTTCCAGCATCGGTTGGGTCAGCTGTAAAGAGGAAACATATATAATATACCAACGTCGATGAGTCGATCCTCCGTATGTTATATATATATATGCATGTCCCAGAAGATACGAACATGCGTGTTTCTTCCCAGAAGACTTCAGTTTGAGGAGAATTAAAAGAAAATTTGTACATGGATGTAATGGCACCTTCTGCATACAAGTGTGTAGGGTCTTTGCTAGCTGGCACTAAATGGGTTTAAAGATGAAGTTTCATTATAACCTGAGGCGGATCTTATGGTATTTTGATTTTAGTATGGTTAGTTAGACATGCGGAAACGCGAACCGGTAATTTTTATGTGTTCCAAGTTTCAAGAAACATTTCGCACTCAAATTCTTCGGTTTATAAACGAATCTAATTGAATTCGCTTTTATGCAGCCAGTGCGCCTTGATCAAGTCTGACCCCTTCTCCCCTATCATGATCGTAGGGGCGTTCGTGTTTCCGCGTGTTATTACAGGCATAATAGAGGCGTCTATGACTCTAAGGTTTTTGATCCCATGCACACGAAGACGAGGGTCCACTACAGCATCAGGATCGTAAGAAGGTCCCATCTTGCACGTTCCCACAGGATGGAAGATGGTAGATGTGTAGAATGTAGCCAGGCATCTCCAATAATCGTCACTAGCAAACTCGTAGTTCTCACACTCCGGCACAGGGTAGTCCACAAGTTGTGCCCCCACGTGTCTAAATGATTTTGTGAACAGCATTTGTAGACCTTGTCTGATACCTGGTGGTTAAAACATACATCAGCCATGAGTAGGAGTGAGGGATTATATGTAGTTGCAGACTTTAATCTACACTAAAATCTACAAATTCCGGATTTGTTGTACCTAATCTACATATTAGTTCCTTCTGCTTTATTTTTATCGTTATTAAAACTCCGTGGCCTGTAGTCCGCAATCGAACTATACCGATCGAGCGACCGCCGCTTGTCCGCGAAGTTAATGCCAACTTTAGCGGAAAGAGGGTGTCACGTGGTCAGCGCAACGCTTCTCTACAGCCGTTAATCTCGGTTTTCTAGACCGGAGCCGCTATTTCCTTGAAATAACTCCTCAGTTATCCTCACGAGGCTGAGTGGACCCCCTTCCAGACTCACTACTTCACAGAAAATCTGGTAGTGCCGGGACTCGCACCCGGGACTTCTATATCTGTAGCCAGGAGTTCTCACCACTAGACCACAGAGGCGGTCTTTATCGTTAATAATCTTTTTTTTTTATTTTTTTAATAATGCTTATAATTGGTATTTACAAAATAGAATCAAGTTTGCCCTTCAATATATATCAGTTTCTCAATGCACTTACCGGCAACAAGGGTTTCCATGTCACGAGGATCTGCGAAGTAATTAGGGTAGATGAGCGGGGCTCCCCAGACAGGGTCTGTAGTGTTGAGTAAGATCCTTCCCCTGCTGCGAGGCCGGAGAACTATGGGCCGAACATTAAGTGAGTCGTAATATGCCAGTGGCTGGGCGTTTGGTTCTAATGTAGGGTTAGTAATGTAATCACCGACGCTAAGTGCATCGAAGGAAAACTGAATATCGGGCAGATCTTTTTCTTCAGCGTATTCGGTTACAGTGAAAACGCCCACTTGTAGAGGACCCGTGGAAGATAAAGGACCGTTTCTGTACTGTTGATATTTTTTAAGATCTTCGAGCCTTTCCTCTTCACTTGCTGTTATTGCTGTCTTGTTTAAATATATTACAACGTCTCTTATAGTAACATGATCTTGTAGGTTTTCTCCTACTTTTAAATCTCGTACGACCTGAATGCCGAAATATTCTAGCTGTTTCCTTGGTCCGACTCCCGAGAGCAGTAGTAGTTTTGGTGAGTTGATTGTACCGGCACTGATGATGACTTCTTTTCTGGCTCGGACTGTACGTATCTTGGTCTCGCCGTCTCGAATGTACTCGACGCCAAATGCATGTTTTGTTCTCGGGTCGATGAGCACGCGTGTCACATGTGCCTGAGTGCGGATGCTGAGGTTCCTGCGTTTGCGACGGATGGGACGGATAAATGCAGCATTGGTGCTGAGCCGCTCGCCGTGGCGAGATGTGTGCTGATACAGCATAACCCCCAGCTGCGACTCTGCCGCATTCAGGTCAATATTTGGGTACCCCAGCTCCAGCCATGCCTCGATGAGCGCCTGAAAGTAGGGCCAGGTACATAACCCTATTTTTGTTTCCAAAGAAAAGAATGAGGGAATAAAATAGGGAAAGGCGGGGTTAAATGGGAATCGATCAAAAAGAAATAAAGCGCCATAGCTCAAGCGGTTAGTCGCTGGCTTCCCGGGTTCGATCCCGGGTCTGGTCAAGTGGAATTTGTGGTGGACAAAGTGGCGCTGGGGCAGAGTTTCTCCGAGTACTTAGGTTTCCCCTGCCAATCTTCATTCCACCAATTGCTCCACAATCACCCTCACCTATCATCTGAGGCTGGTACAATAGGCCAGAAGTGGCCGAAGTACAAGGGAGTTAGTCCCACCCCACTAGCAATAAAAAAGGTGATAGTAAGGTAGAGGATGGATGATGGAATGAAAGAGAGGTGGAAGGAATGTAGGCGAGAAGATAATAGAAGATAGAAAGGTAGGGCAAAATGTAAATATAGACTGAAGTTAGGAAGGATGAAGGGGAAGAAACAGTGGTTTTCTTTCTGCCTCCCTTAAGTAAAGTGACCATGTCAGAACTGAGGTTATAACAGCGGTGACTTAAGATTACTGTACTGCTACGCCGTTTAGTCTGATGTACGGTTTTCTATCATCAGGACAGAAGACAGGGGCGGCAGGTTTCTCTGAAACGTTGGTCACGACCTACCAGATTAAACGATATCACGTACCAGAAATTAATATTCAGGTTGTATTTGAGGTTCTCACAGCGGTGATTATTACGAGCTTTTATTTTCTGTGATATGACGCCGTGTAGTCCGGCGAAAGTCAACCGACGTTTTGGAGGAACAGAGCTCTGCTTGTAAGATTTGAGGCTTTCACGGCGGTGACTATGGAGAAAGCAGTCTTCTGGGATTTGGCACCGCGTATATGTGGTGTTAACCGACGTTTCGGAGGAACGTATCGCCTCCATCTTCAGGGTAGAAGGAAAAATGTAAGAAATCCATCTACCCTGAAGATGGAGGCGATACGTTCCTCCGAAACGTCGGTTAACACCACATATACACGGTGCCAAATCCCAGAAGACTGCTTTCTTCAGAGCTCTGCTTGCTGCCTGCTTCATGCCAATTTCTTGCTTCACTTGCTCTTTGACCCTGAAGAAGGAGTCGATGTTCCTCTGAGAAGTTTGTTGACCTGCAGCGCTGTATCCCAGAAAAGAGGACACTTCATGTTCCCATTTTCAACCGCATCGCTCAAATATGTTCATAAAACATACAGAAATGCAATGATTAAAACTTGCAGACGAATAGAACTTCGTGCCAGGGTTGAACAGAAGTAATTTCTGCGCAAGAAAAAGAAGCCACATGCTTATGAAAGACGCCGTCGTTGATTTGAACCTCTTTTAGCGATACAGTTCGCAAGAGTGGTGGAATCTTTCGCGCAATAATGTCTCGCCATCTCGTAGGAATATAATGAACTCGCTGAATTTGAGCGCGATCTCTTGCGACTCTGGTGGGAAACATCTGAATGTGGGCGTCCTTTCTCGCGACTCTGGTGGGAAACATTTGAATGTGAGCGTGCTGTTTCGCGACTCTGGTGGGAAAACTCCAAGATATGATGCCGAGTGGCACGTAAGGCTGACAGCTTCACCGCCATCTGTGAGCCGATTGTCAAGAAACTTTGGGAGCCTCGACGTCTCACAACCTTATGGGCCTCCATGGCCTGTTATAAGGATAGCTTTACCTTTTTTTATCTTTACTTCCTGAATAGTAGCAAAGAACGTTTATCGGGTTAGGGTCGGACTAACGTAACTACATAGCGGCCTCCGTAGGGGTAACGTTCCCACCTCATGACTCAAGGTACGCGGGTTCAAACCCGGCGGAGGTCGTGGAATTTTTAAGGGCGGAAAAATTTAGGGAACAAGTCCTCCGGGAGGGACTTTAAGCCGTGTGTCCCGTATCGTAGATTTACGGCACGTAAAAGAACCTCATGTCTCTAGGAGACCTCTGAGCTAAATTACAGGCCCTTTCCCGCCCAAGTAGTCTCCAATGCCTCTGGTGGATGGAAACATCAAGGTACCGAGGGCCGACCTCGTTGGCTCTACGGGGGCTGATGGCACGCACCGTTACCGGTAGGGTATGGCGACAGTAGAAATTAAAGAGGGACGCACAATAGACCAATAACTGGTCTAAGTGCATGGGGAAACCCACCCCCTATTATAATAGGAATACGAACGTAACCACATATTTTAGCATTTTTTGTACTATTACTACTAACCAGACCCGCCAAATTGAGCTCTGTATCAGAGTCATGTACCGTGAAGAAGGTGCGTGTCTACTTTTTTTTTTTTCTTTTGCTGGCTCTACAGCCCCCTTCGGCCCTGGCACCTGATTTTCAGTTTCATGATCATTTTACAGACGGTAGGACTCCTTGGACGAGTGATCAGCTCATCGCAAGGCGTCTATCTAAACACGGAATAAACACCTACACATGCCAAACATCGATGCCTTGTGTGGGATTCGAACCCACGATCCACGGCTTCCGAGCGAGCGAAGACAGTACATGCCTTAGACCGCTCGGCTACCGTGAACGGCGCGTATCGACACATTAATATTCGTAAATTATAAATAACTTAGAAGTTTATGCGTCTTTCTGTCCCCAAGAACGTACTCAAAATACCTATAGCAAGGAGGTGGAAACTCACGTTCTTTTCTCTGACCGTTATCAGTTCCTGAGTATCTTGCCGCTACTTCGTAGCACCTATGATCCCACCTCTCTTTGCATAACAGTGAAACCCCATATCTATTCTGGTTATCGGAAATAGAGTGTGAAGTCTATGACCTACAGAGACCTCCATGGGTTCGAGAAGGAAGAAGGTTCTAGACGTACTCTGTGGTCTAGTGGCCAGAGTTCCTACCTACAGATCCAGAGGTCCGGGTTCGATTCCCGGTGCTACCAGATTTTCTGAGAAGTAATGAGTCTGGAACGGAGCCACTCAGCCTCGTGAGGATAATTGAGGAGCTGATTCAAGGAAATAGCGGCTCCGGTCTAGAAAACACATTAACGGCCGTGCGGATCTCGCAAATTTGGCACTAACTTCGTCGACAAGCGGCGGTCGCTCGGTCGATATAGTTCGCTTGCGGACTATAGGTCACGGAGTAGTACTAACCGAAATATAAAAGAGAAGGAGACTGATGGAGTTAAGTTCACACCTTAAGCTGTGCTTGTGATTACGTAAATTAGGCAAACCGTTTCGGAAGTTTACTTCGCCTTGTTTAAATTGAAGGTTTCGTAAAGCAGATCAGTTTTACTTCTCAGTTTTTTTTTATTGCTAGTGGGGTGGGACTAAGTTCCTTTTACTGCGGCCACTTCTGGCCTATTGTACCAGCCCCAGATGATAGGTGAGGGTGATTGTGGAGCAATTGGTGGAATGAAGATTGGCAGGGGAAACCGAAGTACTCGGAGAAAATCTGCCCCAGCGCCACTTTGTCCACCACAAATCCCACTTGACCAGACCCGGGATCGAACCCGGGTAATGACAGTTTTGAAGAGTAATTAGTTGAGGGGTGAGGAACGGTTTCCTGTTGTCACATAAGTTGTTGGGGCTGTGTATGAAAATCCGGGTCGAGGGAGGAATTGCAAGGTAGCAGTGGAAGAAGGGTGGGAAAGGGGTAATAGGGGATATTATAGACAGTGAAGGAAAGGGTACATTTCAAGTATGGATTTGGAAATTCCAACTTGAAGTATCAAGGAAGACGGTTGTTGTTAAGTGTATCGAGAAGTGTGGTACCAGTTTCAGTGAGCATTATTGAGAAAGCGTTCACAAAGCAGACTGGGTAGTATCCAGGTTGCTTCATTGAAGAATATATATAAAAAGCGGAATGAGCAGACAAAGGCAAGTATTTCAACGAGGAAACACACTAAGCGGTTTTTCCCTCACAACTTAAAATGAGAAAGCTGTGGTTTTCCATGTCTTTTTCTCGCGATATCTGCTGTAGGTGGAACATTTGTTTGGCTCTCCGTCAAAAAACGGAATGATCACAACATTAATGAGATGAAGAAAAGAGGACACCATGAACCCGGTGTGAAACTGACAGATAAGAAGAAAAAGAAATAAGGAAACGTAACAAGAGTTTTACGATTTTCGTATCACAGTATTCTAGGACGCATTCTAATCGGGAATATTTCCCTGCAGATTAAAATGTTAGAATTATGTATTCTTACTACAGACATAAATGCCGTACTTTCGAGAAAATGCAGTTGTAACGTGAAATATTTCAATAGTAAAAAGGTAAAGGTACTTAACTAATTAAGCACTACGCCATGAAGACGTATGGGGGAATGGATGTATAGATCCATATTTTTTTGACCTCGTCACTAGTTACACATGAGTTGTCTGCTTCACGCCTCGGTTGCTTTAACCCCGAGGAAAGAGCCCCCGGTACCCGTTGGATAGGAGGCTGAGTGGGCCCCAGAGCCGGTCTGAGCGACGTGGAGAACAGAAAATTCTTGACCCTACCGGGACTGGAACTCTGAACCCTCGGTTGTCCAGCTCGTATCCAGTCGCTATACCGACTGCGCTATCCCGGCTCCCCCGAAAGAACTAAATAAGGAAAGAACATTGTAAAATATATGCTACTTAGTTTTCGACCCCAGGTAGTGTCATATGGTATTTCTGATCGCCAGAATGGCATTGGGGCGGGTTTTGTCCGAGTATTTCGGTCTTCCCTCATATCATCGACGCTATTTAGTCTCGATGCTGGCAGGATCGATAAATAACAAACTTTAAAGAAAATGTATACTGCTGAGTAACAGTGGAATTCAGCTCATGCGAGTATGTAATACTCCCAGATGTTGTTTGTACATGTTTCTCCAGACCCTGTATCATCAGTCTTTTAGCCGCATTGGCAGCAACTGAGCAGTCTGTGCGTTACGTACCTTAATGTTATAATCCTGGTAAGGGAACCGTTCCACTGTCTGATATCCGCCTTTGTGGTGGTATTCAGGATGTTGCTTCAGTATATCATGGTCTTCGTTATCCTCCGACTTGAGAAAGTAGTGCAGGACCTCATTATAGCTCCATCCCTCGTTCCCCATTTCAGCCCATTCATCGTAGTCCCTGGGGTTTCCCCGCACATATATCATGTAATTTATGGTACTGGACCCTCCCATAACCTGCACATGATAAAAGTTTGAATGAAAAATGTGTTGTCATATAACGCTTTACGGTAACACAAGGGCAAGGCATTTTTAGGATCAGAATGTAGTTATAAAAGGGCAAGTTGTATCACTGAATGTAAATAAAATGTAGGAGGTGGTCAAGCTTACGACCGTTCAAATGATTAAACTGCCGTTGGAGAATAAGATACGTAATATAGGCATGATCTGCTTTGCAAAGCCTGTGCTGACAGGTCTTGTGTATAGTGCAGAAGAAAGGATTTTCAGTAACGTGCTATAAGTACGGTTGACGAAAGGCCAGGCATATTCATAAGAGACAACCTCATCTTCTCCTCAGAGAGGAAGTTACATAAGGACTGCTACAGTAAGAGTTCAGTTTGGAAAGAAAATCTGTGGTCGTTAGTCTTAAGGGGCTTAAGGGGCTTGACTCCATGGCGAACTGTTTGGCGGTAAGTCGCCAGTCGTAACGTAAATTTGTCTATGAATGTAAATGGTTTTTAAAAGAACAATTTCGATTCTTAAGTTTCGCATTTTAATCTCATAATCATTTAAGGAAGGCTAATTAGATTGGTCATATCTTACGCGGTAACTGCCTTCTAAAAGAAGTTATTGAAGGAAAGATAGAGGGGCGGATAGAAGTGACCAGAAGACGAGGAAGAAGACGTAAGATGCTGGATGACCTTGGGGACAGAAGAGGATATTTTCATTTGAAGGAGGAAGCTCTAGATCGCATTAAGTGGAGGAACTGTTTTGGAAGAGACTGTGGGCCTCTCGTCTTTACAGATTACTGATGAATGAATCATTTAAGCAGATTGATCTTTTGTGTCGATATCACCGACTTCTTTTAGATACAGAAACTTATTTTGAGAGCGCGGATTTCGGCGGAAGAGTCGGGCCAACCTAGTCACTGTGCTACACGGTTTCGCTGTCTAGAATATTCACTGCAGTGAAATGAAATGAAAAATCAAATGAAATTGACAACACGCGGAGTTCACATCAGCACGTACGAAAGATGTAATATTGTACAAAAATTACAACAAAATAGTCACACTGATGAATAGCTGAAACCTTCGGAATTCAGCGTAAAGTAATGGCGTTACCTTTCCCCTGGCCCAACCACAACCCCCATTCAGAAGAGCGCGACAGCTGCGTTTCTCCGGCTGTGTCCGATACCTCCAGTCTATGTTGCTTTCCTGAAGAAAGGGAGGGAAAGCCGGTACGTCAGCCACGTAGGGCTCCTCGATCCCAGCCTCAAGTAGGAGGATCTGAAATTAGAAATCAACATCATATGAAAGAAAAAGTTTTCTCTGACGTGAAAATTAAAATTATGGTTTTCTACATCCTGACAGCGTACAGTTTCGTAAATGGTTATGAACATTTCGAAGTAACTCACTACCTCCGTCTTCCATCCTGAAGATGGAAGCAGATTGTTCCTCTTATGCATTGGCAAACACACGGTATTATAGCCCAGAAGATCATGGTTTTGACAGCATCGTATATTTACGAATTGCAAATACCTTCCGACGTCAGTTTTCCAATTTTTACCGCGTTATGGTCTGATTGAGAGCACCTTCAAGGCCAATACTGCGACCTCATGCAAACCGCAATGATGACTTGAAGAATTCTGTCTTCAGACTTGTTTTTCATCCCGTGATACAGTTTGTTTCTAGTAACAGACATTTTCGCCTGGGAAATTTTGAACCGGTTTTGTTTTGATTGTGAACTGTTCGATAATTGCGTGTGTAATGAAAGGTGAATTTATCCCTATCTATCGGGAAATGTGGTTAGAGCTCCACCATTCTTAACCTCGGTGAGTAGTCAGCTTCACGTCCGGCCGTTATATCCCGGCAAAAAGAGCCTCCAGTACCCCTTGCATAGGAGGCCGTGGTCCTTATTGCCAGTATGAACAGCGCGTAAAGCTAACAGCCTCACAGCCATTGTGAGCCGACTGTTTAGGAAATGTGGAAGCTTCGACGTCTCACAGCCGTGTGGGTCTCCACGGCCCGTTACAGGGATAGCTCTACCTCCCTCTACAGAAACTACTAGAAAATGTAAGAAGAAACATTGTTACAAGCACTGTTACTAGAACTGACATCACAGACATATAAACAGTAGTGAATATTAAGAAAGTGGTCTTCTGGGTTTAGGCGCCGTGTAATCTTCGTTTTGGCCGACGTTTCGGGGGAACGTATCGCCTCCATCTTCAGAGCAGTTGAATGGCTTGGAATGCAGAGAGCAGTAGCTGTAGTGATAGGAAGTGAAAGGCGCACTATCACTACAGCTACTGCTCTCTGCATTCCAAGCCATTCAGCTGCTCTGAAGATGGAGGCGATACGTTCCTCCGAAACGTCGGCCAAAACGAAGATTACACGGCGCCTAAACCCAGAAGACGACTTTCTTCATAGTCATCGCCGTGAAAACATCAAAACTTACATAGTAGTGAATATTGTTTCAAAGAGTGTGTTATAAGAACTAATTTTATAAAACTGTTATTTTCTTTAAATTCTGTTGAAAAGTACTATTTTATGGGATGTAACGTCGTATTGCCCGGTGGAAGACCTTTCTGAGAAATATACTGCCTGCGTCCTAATATTTGTTCGAAACCTCGGTCTTTACACAGACAATAAGAATCTGGATTAGTTCAATGAAACAATGAAAATCCGTGGCCTGCAGTCATCAAGCGAACTATACCGACGGAGCGACCGTCGCTTGTCGGCGAAGTTCCCCACAGCCGTTAATCCCGATTTTCTAGACCGGGGCCGCTATTTCCTTGAAATAGCTCCTCAGTTATCCTCACGAGACTGAGTGGACCCCGCTCGAGTCCTACTACTTTTCAGAACATCTAGTAGCGCTGGGAATCGAAGCCGGGTCCTCTGGATCTGTAGCCAAGAACTCTGACCACTAGTCCACAGATGCGGCCAATGAAATAATACGTTAAATAAATTATGTTTTGTCGTGTAGTGAACACTAACCTTCCAGTTCTTGATCTCGGAAAGCCTGTTAGCTACGACACACCCTGCTGACCCGGCTCCCACGATGATGAAATCGTATTCCTCTTCTGTCTGTTTTTGCTGGAAAACTTGCTTCCCAAAAATCGCGCTCGAGGAGCCGGTACTGTCGAAAGAATTCGAGGGGCCAAGGAAGAAATCGTATAACGATGATTGACTTCCAGCATTCCCGAAGAATGTATCATATGAAGATGTCTGGCTCCCAGGTTGTCCGAAAAGTGAATCATACGTCGATGAAAATGATTGATCTGGTGAGTAACCGAAGAGCTGAGAGATGAGTTGCAGGAAGAGAACTGTAGAAGGTGAGCAGCTGGTGGACTTGATGTGAGGCTGGCAAAGAGTCGCTAAATCTGGCGGCACCCATGACATTCTGACCTGATAAGGAAAAGAACAACGTTCATACAGATTTGCATTAGATAAATTCATTTTATGGAACCCGAAGGTTCATTATCGTGTTCACAAGAGCCCTCCACTGGTCCCTATCCTGAGCCATATAGATCCAGTCCGTACCACCCAACCCTGTCGCTCTCAGATATATTTTAATATTATCCACCTCCTACGTCTTGGTCTTCCTAGTGGTCTCTTTCCCTCTGGTTTTCCCACCAATATCCTATATGCATTCCCCTTCCCCATTCGTGCTACATTCCTTGCCTATCTCGTCCTTCTTGACTTGATCATTCATGTTATCATACATGTTATGAAGCTCCTCATTATGCAGTTTCCTCCAGCCTCCTGTCACTTCATCTCTCTTCGGTCCAAATATTCTCCTCAACACCCTGTTCTCAAACACCCTCAGTCTATGTTTCTCCCTTAATGACAGAGATCAATTTTCACGCTAATACCGAACCACAGGCAAAATTATAGTTTTGCATATTCTAATTTTGCATTAGATAAATAGTTACATTTAGTTCAGAACTTCTGGCCTGTAATACCGAAGACTCGTTATTATTGATTTTACTGGAAACGATTTATCAGTTGCGACGGTTATGTATAGTCGGATGAGAGGCCATTGTGACGGATGAATTGGAAAGGTCTCATAAAAGTCGTGGACTTTTTTCTTTACCTTATATCCACCCATTTTCCTGTACAGGATACTCACTCCTGCTATACACAATTCGAATTTCGGCCGAATTATAAAAAAAAAACTGTCCTGATTGCGGCTTTCGCGGTTTTCCTCAAGAGTCCTCAGGCCAACACTGAGGTAGTGAAGTTATTAATAAATTACCACATTATTTTTTTTTTATTGTTTTTCTCCGGTCATAATCGTCTTTCCTTCGTGTACAAAGTTTATAGGGTGTAGGCTGCAGTTGAAACAGCGTCGTTGAACATCTAATAGGAATTATCGGTGTGGAACCTAATTCCTCAGTTCTGGACATGCTGGAGGTATGTACAGGAAGTTAACCTGACCTCATGGTTGGTAGATCATCTCTCTTTTAAACTTCCTTTGCTGCGTGCCTTGAACGTGGTCTTGACATTAGGGAACCAGTTCAGTTCGACATGTGCGAATCAGAAGTATCTAGGTCACTACTCTAGAAGCACCGTTCAGGTTTATCTCAGTCATACTAAGATTATACAACTTGTACTGAGCGCAAGAGTAGACTAATTCGTATCTGAATGTCTAAATAGGTCTCTTGTCACCACAGCATGACGCGTTCCCTAATTGCGGATGCAGGAGAAGTTGGGCAGCTCCGATTAAACAAACTAACTCCGTGGCCTGTACTCTTCAAGCGAACTATACCGTCCGAGCGACCGCCGCTTGTCGGCGACGTTAGTGCCAAATTTAGCGGATAGAGGGTGTCGCGTGGTTAGCGCAGCGAATCCCCACGGCCCTTAATTTCGGTTTTCTATTTTCTTGATGTAGATCCTCAGTTATCCTCACGAGGCTGAGTGGAGCCTTTTTCAGACCCCCTACTTCTCAGATAATTTGGTAACGCCGGGAATTGAACCCGGACCTCTGAATCTGTAGCCAGAAACTCTTGACAGCTAGACCACAGAGGTGGTCCGGGCAGCTGCAATTACATTGAATAAACAGTTGCGGACCGCCAACAGTGGGTGGTCATCCAGCATGGTGGTTACACGTGGGGCTAACTCTTCCTCACCGTAATATCCAAGTTTAATACCAGATGTTGCATTGATCCTGGGAATTTGACGAATATGAATATAAGTATTAATAGCGACCTCAAGTTTTTGTTTATTTAATTCTGCTTGTAAATATATAGTATGGTTGCTTTTGATCTGTTTTCAAATTGTTACAGGGCGATTTTTTCGTCTGACACCAATTTAAACATTTCTCAAGGAATATTGTCCTGTCCTACTTTGCTTTCTAAGGAATGATTGCCATAAGATATAATACTTGTTTGCATGTCCGTCCTCTTGTACCTTTCGACTCAATTGACGGACTTTCATTGAATTTAAAAAACAGACCTTCAATAGTACCACAGTGACCAGTGACAGATTTGTACCTCAGAATTTTAAAGTAACTTTCTGTATTTCGCTAAATATGACTTTCAGGTATTGAGGAGGGGGTACTCGGTAGCGTAGTTGGTTGAGGCACTATGCTACAAGCCGGGAGGTCGCCGGTTCAAGTCCAGATTAGGTCATTGGATTTTTTTCAGTTGACCTGAACCTTCCAGCCGCACTATGGCCCTGTGGTCGACTCAGCCTCTAACAGAAATTAGTACCAGGAATATTCTTGGGGGTAAAGTGCGACCGGCGCTTAGGGCTGACAGTCTTGCCGCCATCTATGAGCCGATTGTCTAGAAAATGTGGGCGCCTCGACGCCTCACAACTTATGGGCCTCCACGGCCTGTTACAGGGATACCTTTACTTTACTTACTTTTACTTACGGTATTGAGGTGTTAAGTTATACATAAAAAGGTAAGAGGTAAAGCTGTCCCTGTAACAAGCCGTGGAGGCCCATAGGGTTGTAAGGCGTCGAGGCGCCCACATTTTCTAGACAGTCGGCTCAAAGATGGCGATAAGGTTGTCAGCCTCACGCGCTGGCCTCTCTTTATCTCCCAGGAAGATTACTGATCCTCGTTTCTGTTAGAGGCTAAGTCCACCCAGGGCCATAGTGGAGCTGGAAGGATTAAGTTAATTGAAAAATCCAGTGACCTCATCGGGAATTGAATCTACGTCCTTCCGGCTTGTAGCATAGTGCCTCAATCAACTACGCTTCCGCGTGCCCCGTCAGTTATACATTATACATATAAATTACTGTGTTTGCGGATGCACTATAAATTGTAAAGCTGTCATTATAACTTGCCTTGGGGATGGAAACTCAGTTTGTCACGAAATCGAATGAGCTATACTTCTATAGACGCCCCTCCTTTCTATATACGCACATGCACGCTGAGAATCGAGCCATGATGGCTCAGTCGGTATAGCAACTGGGCTACGGGCTGCACTACTGGGGCTCGATTCCCAGCAGAGGCAAGAGATTGTTCCCTCCTCCACAGCGTCTAGAGCGGCTCTGCGGCCCAACTAGCCTCCTATCGAATTGGTACCGAGGTTTCTGTCCACGGAGGTAAGGCGGCAAGGGCGTGAAGCTGACCATTTATCTCCATCTAATGCCAACATCAAGAATGGTGGAGCTATATTTCTGCTCCCCCATGTGTCTTCATGGTAAAGTGTTTAATTATATAATTAAGTTCAGGGATGATTCTGCCTTTTTACTTTTACTCTAAGAATCGCGTACTTTAAACAAATTCCCCTCCTTAAAACCCTAATATTTATTACTGTGTTCAGAAGAACATCTGCAGGTAGACGTAGTGGTATACCTATAGACGTGTATCCGGGACGTACATAGATCGTATCGCGCCCGGGACAACGGCTAGCCTGAACGAAGTGTTCTGTGGTTTTCAGCAACCATTCCATGCAAATTCCTGGATAGTTCCTCGATAGGCCACTACCACTTCCTTCCAAGTTTCATTATCATCCCATGATTTTACCATTCGACGTTAACATATGCCGTCTAGACTAGACTTTCTCACTCTTTTTACCTTTGAGGAACCCCTGAAATAATTTTCAAGTCTCAGGGAACCCCTGCATAAAAATTATTATGAAGGAAGGCTCTGAATCCAATGTGAATAAAGCTTCTAAACTGATCTTAATTAGTGCTGTTTGGAGCAGGAAAGTTTACTGACAGTGCTGAATAGTAAGGTTACTGAAACCATAAGATAAATCAAAGCAATATGAACAGAAATATCGTCTAAGACAACGTTCTTTTTTAAACTAAAATTAAAAATGAAATTTACTTCTTTAATATGAAACCTGTGCTTGTTTTTCTCTGCACAAATACTTAATTATGAGTCGAACTTTAGGTAAGCACANAAAATGTGGGCGCCTCGACGCCTCACAACCCTATGGGCCTCCACGGCCTGTTACAGGGATACCTTTACTTTACTTACTTTTACGTACGTTATTGAGGTGTTAAGTTATACATAAAAAGGTAAGAGATAAAGCTCTCCCTTTAACAAGCTGTGGATGCCCATAGGGCTTCCTCACGCATGTAAGATGTCGAAAACTGCAGCAGTATGTTCATTGCTTTCCTGCGAATGGCGCCGTAAAACAAGCCACAACAAGGTATCTTGCCCGTGGTCCCTGTCCTGAGCTGGATGGATTTAGTCCACATGTTTAGTTCTTTACTCTCCATTATCCTCCCCAAATAATGTCCGTTAAAATTGTCATGTTACAATTTTGTATTCATTTCTCAACTATGTAATGCGTGCTACATGCCCCGCCCATCTCATTCCTCCTCCATTTTATTGCCGTTTAATTGAAAGCATTTTGTTTTCCTTGGCACTACAGCCCCAGTGGGCCTAGGCCTACCTCCATGAACTTCTCCGTTCACTTCGGTTTTTCTAGATCTTACACATTCGGTAGGACTCCTTGGGCGGGTGATCAGCTCGTCGCAAGGCCTCTACCTGTACACAAAGCCCAGATAAACGCGCACATAAACTAAACATCCATGCCCTGAGTGGGATTCGAACCCACGATGCCGATTTCCAAGCGAGCGTATACAGTACATGCCTTAGACCGCGCGGCTACCGTGACCGGCTTAATTAAAAGTATGTAAACTTATAATTCTGAAAACTCGGTCGATCTTCTAGTAGCTGACCCGCCTGTACGTGAGGCAATGTCCGGCTCTTTCACGCTGCCGTTGATTTGTGTCAGCAGTTACTGAACCACCACAGGTGTGAGTAGTTGAATAGGCGTGTTCTTTTGCTGACAAATGTTTATTTCCAAACTGAATCGTGGTGCAAAAAATGTTTTCAGTGAAGTGTGTCGGAACTGGTCGCCTTATGTAAGGTGGGCCACTTCATTGTGTTTTGTTTTGTAACTCCCGTAGTGTTTGGGAATTTATTGGCGAAATT